GAGACCCGCCTGGGCAGCGAGACCTCATCTCTACAATAAACCAAAAAATCAGCCGGGTGTGGTAGTGCATGCCTGTAATTCTGGCTCCTTGGAAGGCTGAGGCGGAAGGATTGCCGGAGCCCAGCAGGTTGAGGCTGTGGTGGCCGGGAGCGGCCACTGCACTCCAGTCTGGGCGACAGAGTGAGACTCCAACTCAAAAAAAAAAAAAAAAAACCACTCTTTTTATAGAAAGAAATGAAAAACATTTGCTGAAGTGATTTTTTTACAAAGTCAGAGCTTTTATAGTAAAAAGATGTAGATCATTTTTCCAAGTAAGTCTATCTCACTTGAAAAGCAAACGTATCCCAGCTGTTCTAAACCAAGACACTGAACCTCAGGATTGTAGTGTCCATGGCAGTGCCTTTGACTCTGTTTTAAAAAGAAAGACTCAAGGGGAGGAGGGTGGAGGAGAGAGAGTGTGTGTTTTCAGAAGGGTTGAGAGGAAAATGGTGAAGCCAAGTAGAGTCTGAGTGAAGGCACTTATTTGTAAACGGCTTGGTGCCAGTACTGGGGAATACAGTGCTATTGTTGATGGAGGGAAGCCACCAGCAAACTATTTTCCTGTTGGGGAGATTCCTCTGATGTCTACGCGAGGACCCCGTTAAACACCTCTTGATCATCAAGACTCTAAAGCCTGCTCCTGCATCCTTTTGGAATATTTTGCCATCTGTGTATATCCCTTCCTATTCTAGAAAGCCTTGGCCTCCATGCCTTTAACCCTGGGGCTGTGCATGTCTAAGCAGGATGCTCCTTGGGGAGAAGAGCCCCTGTAGGAGATGTTCCCTCAGTCCTTAGTGGCCTACGTGGGGGAAGAGGACAAGAAAGAGGAGGGGGGCTGTCTCTCAGAGGGTTGTACCTGAAGTGGGGATATGTGACAAAGAAATCCCTGTGGGTTTGTGATCTTGGCTGTCCTTGCCATGGACACATTCACAAACTGCTGATGGTAGGAGACATCTAGTCCAGAAGCAGGAAGTGACAAACAGAGAAGCCATCTCAACTCCTGCAGGGACTAGGCTGCAGGACCCTGGTCTACAATCTTCACCTGCCATTTCTTCCCCCAGGAAAGCTGAAGCTGAAGGAGCCTCTATACCTGAAAAACCTAGAAGTCTCAAATAGTCAGAACCATAGAGAACTGGGCCATTAGGACTCAGAGCTAAGATAGGGCAGTTGTGCTTCTCCTCAGCATGAAGCGCTGCCCACCCTGGGTTTGCCAGGACTCCTTTTCCCTTCCATTCAGTCTTGCCCAACCCAGAACCAACTGGGCTCCCTCAGTGCACCGAGAGGCCCTTGAACTGCTGCCATTTGCCAACTAGCAAGACCGCAGTTGGCCTATTCCCTACCACTCCCTTCATGAGGCAGGTTCTTCCTGGGGAGCCACGGCTTCTTGGCGATGTCCTGTCTAAGGCTGGGGGTGCCAAAAGACTGCCACTCTCCAGCAGCCCATGGGGAGGCCACTTCTCTTGGTGTTATCTGGCCATGAGGCATGGAGGAACGGGCCTCCATCGGCATCCCGCCTCCGGTTCCCCTCCTGTGCTGCCTGCTCCTGTTCTGCCTCCTCCTGTGCTGGTGGCTCTCCTACCGGGGACCAGGTCTCTGCTGCCCAGTTCTGCTTTCTCTCCTTGTTGCCCTTGCTTCGCATTGCCCTAGAGGCCTGAAGGATGGGGGTGGGCTCACTGGGGGGCTTGGCACTGAATTCCTCCTGTGTATGTGGCTGTATGTGCGCATGTGTGTCCTTTCGTGCTCCAGGTTTGACTTTGAGGGTCTGGAGAGTGGCGATGATGGCGCATTTGACAAGCTCCGGTCCTGGAGCAGGTCCATCGAGGACCTGCAGCCGCCCAGCGCCCTGTCGGCCCCCTTCACCAACAGCCTCGCTCGCTCTGCGCGCCAGTCTGTGCTCCGGTATGTGTGCTCGCTCTGCCCGCCCGCTCCCGCCCTCGCCCAGCTCCAGTTGGCGCGGCGGTGAGTGCTCATTCATCTCCTCCCTCCACTCTTGCTTCCAGGCTCAGCTCTCTTGCCCTTTGCCTGCCAGTCTGTCTCTGGTCTGTCCTCTCTGTCTCCTTGACTCTGCCCAGCAGTCTGTCCTGGGTAAGTACATGTCCTCAGCTGCACCCACCCCACCTGGGGTTCCAGCTCTCCCCCTCCTCACCCCTCTCTGGAGCCCTCCATTCCTCACTCTGCTGCCATTCCTCCCGGACCTCTTGAACAAGGCCCGTCTTCACAGGTCCTTGGTCTTCACTGGCTGATCCAGCTCCTGCCCTTGTCTGTTTCCCTCGAGCTCTTCACTCTGCCCTGCCAGCTGCTCGAAGACCTGCTCCCACCTAACCTGCCCCTCGCTTTCCTTCACTTCTTCCTCTAGGCCTTTTCTCTCCAAGGCTGCAACGTGTTCATTTGTCTGCAATGTCTTAAGGGCCGTACTACCTGGAGGTAGGCGGATGAACTGGATGATTTCTCAGAGCCCTTTCTGCTCTAGGAAGCTTTCCTGTGGGTCCTGTGGCCCTTTCCTCAGTCTCTGTCTCTCTCGTGGCCACATTTTTCTCTTCTTCTCCTCTGGGTTCTGTTCCTTGGACCCTGCTCATCCTTGACCATGCATGAGCAGATACCATATGTGCTTCTTCCTTTTTTCATAAAACATCATTGAGAGGGTGGAGGGGTGGTGCAAAGCCAGACGTAGCCTCCTGGCCCTCCTGAAGCCTTTGGGGATCTGCTCTGCCTTTTCTGGGACATAAAAGTGGGATGAGAGCCAAGATGCTTCTGTCCCATGGATTGTGCAGAACGTACAGCAGCAGGAGTTGGGGGGACAGATGAATGTCCCTCTGGACCCAGCTCAGGGGCCAGGAAAGCCTACATGACTACTGTTGGTATTTTGAAGGATCTTTAAGGTTAGCATGGTTATGAAGCTGGGATCCTGGGTAGTTGCTGAAAAGGTCTGTTCCAGGGAGGTGAAAACCGGCTTACCTCCTGCCTCCTACACACTTGGCTATTGCTACCAGGTGCTCTTTCCCCCTCTTGCTGCTGCTGGGGGGCAGCCTGCTGCTCAGGTGATGGTGAGTACTCCTAGACACTTCACCAACAGCCTCAGGTCACACCTGACTGCCTGGCCCATCTCCCTCAGGTATAGCACTCTCCCTGGGCGCAGGGCCCTGAAGAACTCCCGCCTGGTGAGCCAGAAAGATGATGTCCACGTCTGTATTCTTTGTCTCAGAGCCATCATGAATTACCAGGTAAGGGGTGGCACTAGCCATGGGGTTCTACCTCTTCTGCCTCATCTGCCAAACCAGGAGAGCAAGGAAGGTACCAGCTTGTGAAAGGCACGTTTGCGGGTGGGCCTACAGGCAGATCGGCTAGGCTCTCCCTTCCCCACCATCAAAGTCCTCTCCTCTGTCCTTTCCCTTGCAGTACGGATTCAACCTGGTCATGTCCCACCCCCACGCTGTCAATGAGATTGCACTCAGCCTCAACAACAAGAATCCAAGGTGGGTCCCATCCCTCTCCACTCTGCCAAGGGCTCTGGAGATCTGGGCTCCACATGTCCCTGACAAGAAGTCATATCTGGCCTTGGGATCCCATCAGAACCTTGGTTTGGTCTCCTCACCTCTGCTGGAGAAGTATCCTTGTTTTCCCTCTGGTCCACACAACTAGTGAGGGAGCAAACTTTCCTTCTCCTACCTTCTTTCCCAAACCCGCCTCTCTCCTCACTACTGAGGTGGTCCTCACTCTCCAAAAGGACTCAGCAGTCATGGAAGTGAGCTGTGTGGTCATTAGGATGGGGGGATAGGGTGTTAATCTTCCTTCTTCATTCCTTAGGACCAAAGCCCTTGTCTTGGAGCTCCTAGCAGCCGTGTGTTTGGTGCGGGGAGGTCATGAAATCATCCTTGCTGCCTTCGACAATTTCAAAGAGGTCAGTCTTTGAAATTGTATGTGTGTGTTTGTAGGGGAGAAGGTGGGAAGCCAGGTTGGTAAGCATCATTTAGTAGGTAAGCATCATTTCCTGTGATCTCCACTGATTTCTAACATCCCAGTGAGTACTTGGCAAGTAGCCTACCCCTGACCCCTCACTTTTTAAAATCAGAACATCAGTCTTACTAGATCTTGTGCTGGGAATCTTCCTGATTGGCCAGCTAAGAATACCCTCAGATAGTTGAGGGCTAGAGTCCAGTGGTCCTGATCTGGCCACATCAGAGTCCCCTGAGGAGCTTGTTAAAAGGAGAGATCCCTGTGTCCTACTCCAGAACTCCAGACCCACTGGAGGCCTGGGTATCTACTTGAGGAGACGCTCCAGGTGGGAGTCTGATGCAGTGAACCCACTGGTAAAACCCACAGCAGTGGGGGGAGGAGGTGAGCAAGGATGTTTCCTGGGTTGCGAGCTGTTATTGGTGAGGGGACAAGGTTATGTGGAATTTCCCCGGCCTCTGGGCCTGGCTCTGAAACCCCTATCTGCTTGAGCATAGGATTCCTCGACACCCAACCACAGCTGCTGGTCCCACCCCTTCCTCTTCTTTGGTTGTCTTCCCTAGCATCCATTGTTTAGGCCAGGAAATGGCTCTTCCTTCTTGAAACCCAGAGGCTCAAAGGAGCCTCTAGACCCCTCTCAGAGAGGGCCTTCCTGCATGCTAGCCCCTCCCCTGCGTCCTCACTAGGACCTCAGCCTCCTGCTTGTCCGTGGCCTGCCACCTTCTTCCTTCCTTCCCTCCTTCAGTAACTTGGCAGCATCAGACCCCCATGTTGCTTCTTGGCCTATCCATAGAGGCACCTACTGCCCAGTCAAGGGCACAGGCTTTACTGAGTTCCCTCAGCAAGTTGGTGGGGAACCAGAGACCCAGAGCCAGATTCCAGGTCCCAGGTTTTCTCTTATTGTGTCCAGATGACCCATTTAATAGCTAGAGTTGTGGTTAAACTTGGTCTGAATCAGCCCTTTGCCATGCTATTCCTGGGAGCTAGAGCTCAGGGGCTTGGGATCTGCACAGGGCAGATTCCTTTACAGAGGAAGTTTGCTCGTTCAGGTGTGCAAGGAGCTTCACCGCTTTGAGAAGCTGATGGAGTATTTCCGGAATGAGGACAGCAACATCGACTTCATGGTGAGGAACTGGGCCTGGGTCAGGCACATGCCCAGCAGGGCTGTGTGCTCTTTGAGAATGGGGTCTGGCCAATGGCGCATCCTGATATATCATGAATAAACCCAGAATGATTCTCTGGTCAGTAAATGCTTCTTTACCTGCCCACCCCAGAAAGCTCCTAGAAACTTCAGAACTCTGTCATTTGTGTGTCTCGGATAAACCTCCTTTTCCTTTTCTGTGGATTTTCATCCCTGACTTGAAGCCTTTTTGAGCTGCCTTCCCTTTTCTAAGCTCTCCTGCTAACTTCAGTACCTTTCAGTGCAGGCACTTCAGCTAGTAGGGTTGGCTCAAGACACACTGTTGATAGTCAAAGGAAATCAGAGAGCTGTGTCTTCATTTACATGTTTTTCATGTAATTTACTTATATTTTTACACTGAATATTAAATGTAACATTTTAAAAGTTAAAGTAATCTTCTTTCTCCATAAAGACTTAGCTTTTTTATTCACTTATTGTGCTTATCCACCTGATGATATTCTAACAACCACCTGTCTTCCCTATCGCTTGGCTCTCCTCTGCCTCCCTGTCTCTGCCTCTCTGGGCTGCTGCTTCCCCAGGTGGCCTGCATGCAGTTCATCAACATTGTGGTGCACTCGGTGGAGGACATGAACTTCCGGGTCCACCTGCAGTATGAGTTTACCAAGCTGGGGCTGGAGGAGTTCCTGCAGGTGAGCTGGTAGGGGTCTTGGTAAGGTGAGGTGCTTTGGAGTAGAGGACCAGCTTGGCCATGTCACAAAGGGTTTTGTTTTTGTTTCTACAAGTACATAGTCCTTGAGGCTCCTGGAACCCTGCTTGTCTTCTGTGGCCTGGGACTCAGGACCTCCCACAGACAACTCCCAAGTCAGGCAGCTCCACTGGGCGAGAATCTGACACAGCCAGCAGCTGGAACTCCTGGGTTTTACACACTAGGAAGTGGCAGTAAAGGGTGATGAGGACTAAGCTTTGCTTTTTAAAATTCTGACAAGGTCTTATTCTTTCACCCGGGCTGGAGTGCAGTGGTGTAATCATAGCTCACTGCAGCCTTGAACTCCTGGGCTTAAGGGATCCTCCTGCCTCAGCCTCCTGAGTAGCTACAGGTGTGTGCCACCATACCTGGCTAGTTTTTAAGTTTTTTGTAGAGATGGGATCGCTGTATTGCCTAGGCTGGTCTCAAACTCCTGGCATCAAACAATCCTCCCACCAAAGTGCTGAAATCAGGCATGAGCCACTGTGGCCAGTCAAAACTAAGTTTTTCTCAGGAGGCCTCCCCTGATCTTACACCTGCTCCCCCACCTACTACTGTCTCCTGCTCTTCCCCAGAAGTCAAGGCACACAGAGAGCGAGAAGCTGCAGGTGCAGATCCAGGCATACCTGGACAACGTGTTTGACGTTGGGGGTTTGTTGGAGGATGCTGAGACCAAGAATGTAGCCCTGGAGAAGGTGGAGGAACTGGAGGAGCACGTGTCACATGTAGGTAGCCCTCCTTTGCCCACCAGAGCTGCTATTGAGAGTAGGGGAAGAAGGGGATGTCTGAGATCCAGGAATCCTGAGCTGACCCATTTGCCTCCAGATTGACTACCTGGGAGGCTTTAGAACCCACTTGGGCTTTCTAGAGCATACTCTGACTTGAGCCACTGAGTTATCACTGACTGGAATACATATTGATCTCCAGGGCATGGGATGGCTGCAGGCTTGAGAAAGTCAGAATGTGGCCATTTGCCTCGTGTCTGCAGCTGTGTCACATGATGTCAGGCCCTGGGCCCATGGGAGGGAGGTAGGGGTGTCCCCGACCAAGCGGCCTTTGGGGCCCTGCATGGGGTGGCCGGGCTGGGGTCCTGACTGGGGTGCAGCCCGTGCTTAGGACCCAGGCTTAAGGGCCAGCCCCGAAACTGTCCTTTTTGTCCTGCAGCTCACAGAGAAGCTTCTGGACCTGGAGAATGAGAACATGATGCGGGTGGCAGAGCTGGAGAAGCAGCTGCTACAGCGGGAGAAGGAGCTAGAGAGCATCAAGGTTCAAGTGCTCTGGGGAATGCAGTCCCTGACCGAGCCTGGGCTGTGGGACTTTACGGTCTTGTTTTTCCTTCCCAAGTCATGTCAAGTCCATTAGGATTCAGATCCTGGCTCACTCTTGAGGCACTCAGATGAGGGTGGGCTGATGACTTCCCCATTTTTAGTTGGAGAGAGAAGCTGAAGCCAGAGTGGGCCAGACACACATGGAAGAGAGTGGGAGTAGACAGGGCACCCGCAGGCACCTCTGGAGCCCCAGGCTGGGCCTCCTCCTACTAGCCCACCCCACTGACTTCCCTCCCCTCTACCTCCGCATCCTCCCCTGGGCATGCTTCATGAGTGGGTCAGAGTGGCCCAGGTACTCTGCTAACACATCCACCTGGTGTCCTAAATGAGGAGGGCAGGGCTCCCCTTATTTCAGTCTCTTCTGTCTCTTCATCTAACTATTTTAAGTTATCAAGTCATGCCCCAGCCCACAGTGTCTTCTAGAAGAAAACAATTTATACTGGTTCTGTGGCTCTCCATACATATCTGCCCAGTCCCTGTTAAGCGCTGTATTAGAAGCTGTGGAGGGTACAGAGATGGCTAAGACAGGGTCTTGTCCATAGGGGGCTTTCCGTTGAGCAACTGCACAAGGTCACTTGAAATTAAAGCAAAACAAGGCCCGAAGGGCTGTGGAGACAGCAACTCTGTCAAACTGGTGGTGAATCAAGGAGAGTTTCAGAGAGCAGCCTTCTCTTTGGGCCTTGAGGGCCCCTGCAGTGAGAACAGGCTGGGGCAGAAAGGACACTTCTGGGTGCCAGCAGGGTCAGGTCACTTCTGCTTGCCTCTCTTGATCTACTGCGTTCCAGCTTCCCTGCACCCCCGCCTGGATTTCTGCCACTCTGAGCCTTTGAGCACATTCACAGAGACCCTAGTTGACAGACCCTAGGGTAGGAATTCTTACTCCTAGGGGCAGTGACTCCTGTACCTTCTGCTTACCCTCCCCATTGGTGTCGTCTGCCCGTTAGGAGACATACGAGAACACGAACCACCAGGTGCACACCCTGCGGAGGCTCATTAAGGAGAAGGAGGAGGCCTTCCAGCGCCGATGCCGCTTGGAGCCAAGTGCCCGGGGCCTGGAGTCTGTGGGCACTGAGGCCCTGGCTAGAGTAGGCCCTGCAGAGCTGGGTGAGGGTGTGCTACCCTCAGACCTGGACCCTCTGGCTCCAGTCCCACCCCCCGAGGAGGTCCTGCCTCTGCCTCCACCGCCAGCACCTCCCTTGCCCCCGCCACCTCCCCCGTTACCAGGTAACTAGGGCCCTGGGAGCTGGCAGGGGCAGCCTCACTGTGGGGACAAATTCATAGTCAGCAAGGTCTTCCTCAGGGAGATCTGGGAACATGGCGTATTCGAGGGCTGGAAGTATATAAAATCAGGGTGAGAGAGGGCTGAGGGAGGGCTAGAAGCTTAAGTTTCTGGCAGAGGGATGCCTGAGGGCAGATGTGGTCCTGTTTGAGGGACCTAAAGATGCTGCTTCTAATTCCTTTAAGGAGCGGCTTAGGCTACAGCAGGAGAAACTGGGACAGGGCCTGGCAAGAACTGTCAGAGTTAGGCTTCCTGGGAGCAGCTCAAGCGGGGATCATGCAGTCTCCTTTCCTGAGGGTTCTTAAGGACAGGTGGGTGGGCAGAGGGGAGGGCAGTCTGTGAAGTCTCTTGACCCCTGGGTCCCTGTGCCATTTATTCTTCCCCCAGACAAGTGTCCCCCAGCCCCGCCTCTCCCCGGCACTGCCCCCTCAGTGGTGTTGACAGTGGGCCTGTCAGGTGAGTGTCCCCAGGGCTCTGGGCAGGGCTGGTGGGTCCAAGGGAGTGTGTCCTTAGCCCCTGCCTCACCGATCCTCCTTCCAAACTAGCCATTCGAATTAAGAAACCTATCAAGACCAAGTTCCGGCTGCCTGTCTTCAACTGGACAGCGCTGAAACCCAACCAGATCAGTGGCACTGTCTTCAGCGAACTTGATGATGAAAAGATCTTAGAGGTAACAGGGCCTGGGCCCCGAGGGGTGGGGTCTGGGGCCCAGGTTGCCCTTTGAGCAGATCTCTCTCAGTCAGGGTGGGTCCAGGGTCAGCTCCACGAACCCTTGTATACTCTTGCGTGTATATATTTCTAGTTATGTCTTCGCTGTGTCTGTATACGTGAAACACTGCAGAGTGACTGAACTCTGGACCAGTGCTGGCCAGTACTGGGTGGGCTGCCAGGGGGTTCTCCAGCACTGTTATGCCACAGCATTTTTCCTGCTCATCTGTTTCTGCCAGGACCTGGACCTGGATAAGTTTGAAGAATTATTCAAGACGAAAGCCCAGGGCCCTGCCCTTGACCTCATCTGCTCTAAGAGCAAGACAGCACAGAAGGCTGCCAGCAAGGTGACCCTGTTGGAAGCCAATCGTGCCAAGAACCTGGCCATCACCCTGCGCAAGGCTGGTCGGTCGGCTGAGGAGATCTGCAGGGCCATCCACATGTGAGGCTCCCACTGACCTGGCCCTGGTCCCCAGCCAGTTGGCAGTCTAGTTCTCCACTCAGGAGCCCAGCTTTCCTTAGATTCCAGGGCTTCTGACAAGACTCCCACAATGCCTCAGTCATCCCCTGGCTTGACCAGAACTTACTGCACCCATGTTGGAGACTCAGCCCAGGTCCTCACCCAAGAAACCCCAGTCTAGTGGGAACAGTGCAATAACATTGAGTGGTACCACCAGGATGCAGACGTACAGGCCGCTCTGAGAGGGTAGGGAGGGCCACGTGGCTGAGCTTGGTGATCAGGGAAGGCTTTGCACTATCTCAGCCGGGACCTGAAGGAAGTGTATTAGTCCAGTTCAGGGCCTGGAGAGAGAAGCATGGCGCCTTGTGTACTGAAAATGAAATCCCTACAGGGAGGGGCGCAGAAGAGAGGGTAGAGAGCTGGGCAGAAGTCTTACAGACTGGACCTCAGCCACGCCCAGGACTTCACTAGGTGCAGAGGGAAGACATGGAAGGACTTTTAAACAGGAGCATGGGATGTTTCCCCAAGGTCGTTGCTGGTGCTGTGACAGATGAGGCGATGGGTCCCCCACCCTGGGCCTCTGGGAGCTGGAGAGTAAAAGGAACGGGGGGCAGCACGGGCAGATGTGAGATCTGAAGTGGTCCCTCCCTTCCACACAGGTTTGACCTGCAGACACTACCTGTGGACTTCGTGGAGTGCCTGATGCGCTTCCTGCCCACAGAGGCTGAGGTGAAGCTGCTGCGGCAGTACGAGCGGGAGCGGCAGCCCCTGGAGGAGCTGGCAGCCGAGGACCGCTTCATGCTGCTCTTCAGCAAGGTGGAACGGCTGACCCAGCGAATGGCGGGCATGGCCTTCCTGGGCAACTTCCAGGACAACCTGCAGATGCTCACACCGGTATGGCCCCACTTAACTTGGGGTCCTCGACAACTGCCCCACTGGTCACTGGTCCCCTCCCCTGCCCTGTCAGTCCTTCAAGCCCCTTCCTGGCTCCTCTAGCCAACCTGGGGTCACTCAAGTGTTCATCTTGCCTTCCAGCAACTCAATGCCATCATTGCAGCCTCTGCCTCTGTCAAGTCCTCGCAGAAGTTGAAGCAGATGTTGGAGGTGGGAGAGGCTGGGAGTGGGGGTGCCCAGGTCCCAGGAGGGGGCCTGGGGCTATATGGAGAGGAAGAAGGAGCCCTAGGCTTGGGCCTGACCTGCCTCACATGCCTCTTTTGGACAGATCATACTTGCACTGGGGAACTACATGAACAGCAGCAAGCGGGGAGCCGTGTATGGCTTCAAGCTTCAGAGCCTGGACCTGGTAAGGCGGTGGGGGCAACATGGGCCAGGAAGCCTGGGGGTGGCAGCTGTGGAGCCAGGGTGCTTAGCTCTCTTGTATTGCCCTACCCTTTCCCAGCTGCTGGACACCAAGTCCACTGACCGGAAGATGACACTGCTGCATTTCATCGCCTTGACAGTGAAGGAGAAGTACCCAGACCTGGCTAACTTTTGGCATGAGCTGCATTTTGTGGAAAAGGCTGCAGCAGGTGAGGGGAGCCCAGCTGGGTGGGCCTGCCCTTAAGTCCAGCCCAAGACAATCTCAGGAAGCTATGAGGAGAGAGAACACTTGGGTTCACTTGTTTCTGGCTTTTGTTATCATCTTTCTGACCACTTCAAAGCTTTCCGCTGGAGCCATGAGCAGGGGCCACTTCAGGGGGAGCCTTCCTCCAGGAATCAGGCCTGCCCAGCCCTTTCCAGCTAGGTGCAGTGAGAGCGGGAACATGAGGGTGGCACTGGCTCTTTACCCCCTCATGCTGGCGCCGGAGACTGTTTCTCTGATGTGTGTGAAGTGCCTGGAAAAACCATAAGGCCCTCAACAGTCATATGGTAGCTGTTTTTTCTGCCCCACCCATGTGCACAGGGGCAGGCCCAAGGCAGCTTCATCCTGGAGACAGCAGGCTCTGTAGCTTGCCTTCCTTTGCTGCCTTGCTCTTTGGGGCCATGAGCTCACAGCCTTGTGCTTTTCCTGGCCCCTGTGAGAGTGCAGCTAGCTTCGTGTGCGCTTCTCCACATCCATACGGGTGGGAGAACCCGAGTGAGCCATGCCGAGGGGGAAGGTCAGCTTGCCATAGCCCTGGGTCAAGAGGTGGGTGGGCCTCAGCCAGGCCTCTGGTGACCACAGTGTCCCTGGAGAATGTACTGCTAGACGTGAAGGAACTGGGACGGGGCATGGAACTGATCCGGCGGGAATGCAGCATACATGACAACAGCGTCCTTCGGAGCTTCCTCAGCGCCAACGAGAGCAAACTGGACAAGCTCCAGCGCGACGCCAAGACAGCTGAGGCAAGCCTGGGGTACAGGCTGGCGGGGCACCCAGGCCACAGTGCCAGGCCCCTCTGGGTGGGCCTCCTGCTGGTTCTTCAGCAAGCCCTGTCCCTGGTTGTGATGGGGAGAGGGCTTTGGGGGCAGAGGCAGCTGCCTCTGGAAACATGCAGTCATGGTTTTAGATCCCAGGTCCTCTCCAGTTCACGGGGGGCTCGGGTGGATGGTTTCCTTCCCTTTGGCCCTGGACTCAGCTTTCTGCGGGCCTCCTGTCCCTGGTGTGGGAGCTGGGCCTCTCCTTCCCGCCAGGCTGACCCCTCCTGCCCACCCCTTCCCAGGAGGCCTACAACGCAGTTGTCCGCTACTTTGGCGAAAGTCCCAAGACCACACCACCTTCTGTGTTCTTCCCAGTGTTTGTTCGATTCATTCGTTCTTACAAGGTAAGCCGAAGAGGGCTTTGAAAGAGTTTGGCTGAGAGAAAAGATGTTGAGAGAGATAAGCCCAGGCTTCAAGTCAGGGCCTTTTCCAACTCCTGGAGAGGGAGTCCTGGAGAGGGAGCCATGGACGCTGGCCTCTTAGTGTGAACTGGTGGGCAGGGTGGGGGCCCAGGCCCTTCCTGTCATTGTTTGGGGCAGGAAGTGCCCCTCCAGAGGGTGGCTACCTGGGGTCAGCTGGTCCCACTGCCACCCACTCTCCACCCTCAGCGTCAGCCCCACCCCTCATAGCCTGTGTGAGCCTCGCCCACACCCACCTTCCATGGTTCTTAGGAAGCAGAACAAGAAAACGAAGCCCGCAAGAAGCAGGAGGAGGTGATGCGGGAGAAGCAGCTGGCACAGGAAGCCAAGAGACTGGACGCCAAGGTAGGTGGGGCCCAGAGGTGGGCCCTGGCAGAAGACAGGGCAAAGGACTAGGGCCAGGCAGCAGAGAGCTAGAGGTGAATGATGAGCAGACGGATCCCCAGAGGCCTGAGGGCTAGGCCCTGAGGTGTGAAGGGAGGGGCTTTGGGAAGGGATGCCTAGCAATACAGTCAGGCATGTCCTCAGACCGCATCTTGCGGCAGGAACCAGTTCCATGTTAGTTGACGGATGACTTCCTTCCCCCTCCAAATTCTTGGCCCTAGACCCCATCCCAGCGGAACAAGTGGCAACAGCAGGAGCTAATTGCAGAGCTGAGGCGACGCCAGGCCAAGGAACACAGGCCTGTTTACGAGGGGAAGGATGGTACCATCGAGGACATCATCACAGGTAGAGCCTGGCCACTGGACCCAGCTCCCAGAGTTCAGCCTAGCCCCTTTGGGTCCTCCTGCCCTACCCCACACCCATGAGGCCTGACCACTGTGTCTCTTTCCTGGGCCACAGTGCTGAAGAGTGTCCCTTTCACGGCCCGTACTGCCAAGCGGGGCTCACGCTTCTTCTGTGATGCAGCCCACCATGATGAGTCAAACTGTTAACCCTCGAGCTGGGGCCCCTGACAGGTACCGGGCACCAAAGCTGCCCCCTTTGCATGCCCACCTTCCAGGACTCCAGCTGGAGCCCACAGGCACCTCCTCCCCTGCATGACTTGCAGCCTTCCAGCTGGGGACACGTACTTCTTGCATGCCCGTGCTGAGAAGCGTGGCCTGTCCCCTGCATGTACCCTTAGGGAAGTGGTCTCTCCCACTAATGCTGTCCTGGCTTCTACTAAGACCCAAGGGGTAGGGAGTCGCCATGCCAGGGTGGAGAACTGTGTCAGAGCTGAGGCAGGTCCAGACCTGGGCCCGGGAGATCCTTTGTCCTAGGGTTCCCTCCTTGTAAGGCTCTGGTAGGAGCTTCTGCCCAGGGGCAATCAGATGTCCCTTATCTGTTTCCTGACATCTAGTCCACCTGGAGTTTCTTTCCAGCCCCTGGCTCTTGTTGAGTCTACCTTGTCTCTGCTGACTGCCCAGTGGCCCCTAGTTACCCCACCTGAGCCTCTGAATAGGTAGAGCCCCAGTAGTCTCCCTGACTGCCCCTCAAGCCTCTCTCCAAGTTCTTCCCTCGTCTGCCTCATGGCTGGCTTCTCCCTGAGGGGCTGCTCCTGGAGGTGCTATCCTGGCTAAGCCTCCCTTCCTGTTCACTGGCCTCTGTCTTCCCCACAGGCCTTCACCACCAGCCCATTGTTGTTCGCCACCAAGCCAGGAGTACTGTACCACCCAGTGCCCCTCCTCGGGCTCCAGGTCCCCACTGAGACCCTCTTGGAAGCAGACGCACTTCAACCCTCCAAGTCCTACAAGTGCAACCAGTGGGCCTGGAGCCTTGGATTCTGCCAGAACCCAGCAGAAGGCTATGCTGCTCTCCCAACCGTGTCCACCCCAGCTCCCAAGGCTGGATCTTGCCTGTGCCACTGTGGGCATGAGGACTACAGGGGCCTGGCACACCCCTGGTGCCCCCAATACTGCACTTTGCCCCCCAAGGTCTTTGACTGCATTTCCTGAAGGGTAACCAAGGGTCAGCTTGGGGCTGGGAAAAACCATGTTCCGCTTTAGCCTATCCAGGGGCACCGAGGCCCCTCTCCTACCAGAGCTCAGAGGGATTGAAAGGAGAGCACAACTATCCCTTCTTTTTCTTCCTTCCTTTTTGCAGGGTCATGGTCAGCTCTGATCTAGAAGTGTCCAGGCTTAGGAAGCCCTGGGACCCTGCCAGTCTCAGATCATCTCTTAGCAGAAGCAAGTTCCTCCCAAACCTGGGCCCTGCCCAGCTGTGCCCTAGTAGTGATAAGGGTAGGGGAGAGAGCCAGGCTCACTGCCTTTATTCCTCGCCCACTTCATCCTAGGCTGATGCTGTCCCTGCTGAGGTGGGCAGAAGAGCAGAGGTTTTCTCTGCACCAGCCTTCTCTGCAGACAGCCGGAGAAGGGTGTGCCAACATCCACACCTTCCCTTAGCTAGGAATTTTTGGCAGGAGGCAGGGAATATGGTAGCGTTAACTGTTTGCTCAGCTCCCTGCTAGTTTCTCCTCGGCCCCTGGAAGGGAATGTGGGGCCCACTTCTTTTTGTACATGTACCACCTCTCTTCCCTCTTGTACATAAAACCCCAGACCTTCCCTCTCTCAACAAAGGCTTGAAGCACCAGGCTTTGTCTCCTCTTTCTGAGCTTGGGGCTAGGGTGGCTCAACCTGACCTGAGCCATGGGGACAGAAAGGAAATCTGGGGGGAGCTGCATCTGTTTCAGCGGAGAGGAGCTCAGGAACCTGGGGGAGGAGAACCAGGCTGGGTGGGCTCCAGGCACACAAAGGGAGGCAGGCCTGCTGTGAGACACCAGCGCCCTCTGCTGGGCATGTGCAACCTGTCCAGTCCCCAGCCTGCCCCAGCAGCACATGGAGGAGACAAAAGAGTCACTGGCCATGTTATAAATATTGTTCTTTAAAAAACAAAACAAAACACACGGACGTTGAGTCCTGGGGCTGGAGGAGGAAGTGGTGGAGCCCCAGGGCAGGCAGGAGCAGGCACTGATGCTAGAGGGTGAGGACCCTGCCCTCTGCCACCCAGGCTGTGGCCACCAGCCTGTCACTCTTCTCTGGAGACCCTGCTCACACTTGATCTACTGGCATCACCCGCTTCACATGGCATGTACCACCCACCTCTGGTCTGGGGCTGAGGGCAAGGATTGCACTAGTTGTCCGGGGAGTAGGGGACCCTTAAACACCAGGAGCGACCTGCAGAGGTGCCAACAGTGGTGTGTTGGGGGTGGGGTTACTTTAGAAAAAGTGGACACAGACCAGACTAAGGAAGAAGTCTGAGGCAGGAGGTGAAGGTGGCCCGGGAGCCACAGCCCCACACAGACCCGAGGCAGAGGGCAGCTCGCCAGGTCACTGGTGGTCGTCCAGCTGCTGGAGGAGTGTCCGCCGCCGCCGCTCCAGCTCGCCTTCACTCAGCTCACTTTCTGACGTGTCCCAGCCCGTCTGTGGGAGCAAAGGCACAGCTCACCTAAGCTACCAGAGGCCTGGTCAGCAGACTGACAGCTGGGGCCCCTGCTGCGCACCTTCTCCTTCTTGATTCCGAAGCCTGGGGAGCGGTTCGGGAGCTCTGTGGGTCGGAGCTCCCTGTCCTTGTCCTGTTCTTGTTCTTTCTCATCACTTTCCTTGCCAGCTTTCTCCTCAGGGTCTGTCTCACTCTCAGGACTGTTCTGTAAGAGTCCAGAGCCCTCCTCAGTTCCTGGGAAGGACAGCCTGGGAGACGGGTGGAAGAGAGTTCACAAAATAGGAGGGTCTTGGGTAGAAGTTCCTTCTCAACTCACCGACTTATGTCTTCTCTTCTTTGTTTTCTTTTTTGGTTTCTTGGCTTTCCGAAGGCCGTGATCTGCAGATAGAAAAGTCCTCACTAAGCCCTGGCAGGAGAAGGGAGGGCTCATTCTTTTCTCTGCTCCGGCCCCTCTGTTCACTTTCACAGGTGGGCAGCCTCGTGGTCCAAGGAAGTCTGAGTCGGTTGTATTTTTCTCCCAGTTTCTTACCTAGGCAGGGGCAGGAAGTTCTTTGACTCTCCCACAAGTTCAGCCCTCCCAATCCACTCTACCCTCGGGGGCTGGGGCTTGGCCTGGGCCAACGGTCCTCCAGCTCCCAGGCTAATAGCTGCTCACCCGATCCAAGGAGAAGGTGGGAGGAAGGGGATCCCCGTCCTCCAAGGGCAGCACCCCCACTTTCAACGGAATCAAGTGAGGAAGAGGGCTCAGAGCCTGACTCCGAGGGGTTCCGCCGCCTCCGTTTGGGGGGCCGGAGAGACGGTGGGGGCAGCTCCTCCTCTTCTGACTCAGAGCCCTGGGCAGATCAGCAGATACGTGTCAGCGCAGAGGTTCTCTGGCCTCCAGAAGCCCTCGTCTGGGAATTGGGGACAGAGAGGAGGATCCAGGGCCAAAGGAATCCTCAAATCTCTCTCCAACAGAGACGATTTAGGGGAAAAACAAAAGTTCATCTCCCCAAAACAACCCAGCCTCACCGACATCCCTTCTATCCCCAACTCACTGAGGGCGAGTGGGAGCGCTTGCGATGGTGCTTCTTGCCCTTCCTGCCGTGCTTTCGGCCTTTGGTGTGGAGGTGCTGGCATTCGGTCTGCTGGAGGCAGAGGAAGAAGGGTGAGGACTTAGCCCCAGGAAGGACCCGGCCTCCTAAAATCTGGCTTTGCCTCCCTCCCTCAGGCCTCCTCTTAGCTGGCCAGGGAAGGGAGAGCCCTAGGGGTGAGAGGCCCCTAAGGTCTCTGTTGAGTTGGCCTAGGGAGTTCAGGGGCCTGGGACAGATCCAGAGGACAAGGCAGCCTCACCTCCAGCACCTGTAGGAACTCCCGGAAGAGCCGGATCCGCTCCGACTCCAAGGTGATCTGCTCAAAGGCTGAGTCGCACACAAAGCGCTCACGGACCTTGAACGGGGAGAGCACTGCTGATCAGACCAGGCCCCACTGGGCCTGGCCTGGACACTGCCACGAGCACAGGGCAGGGCTGGGGCAGAGGAAGGAAGGGAATGAGCTGGCCCAGGGCTGTGTTGTGGCTGGGGTGGGCCCTCGGTGGTGGAGAAGCACCGCTGCCCTCAGGCTTGAGGGGTGTGTGGGGCCAGGCTGCACTCCTGACCTCTTCCCAGGCTGTGCCTAGCTCCAGGGCAGGCACGGCCTGCCTCAGCATGCTTCGAAAGGCAGCTTCCCTGCGCCGCATCCTTCGTGCCTCCTCCTTCTCCCGCTCCCGCTCCCGCGCCTCCGCTTTCTCCAGCAGCTGAGAGGAGAAGGGACACAACAGGGTCACCCAGGATGGTGGATGCCCACTCAGGCATACCTTAGGAGGTGGAAAGTTAGGGTGTGGGCTTCACCATCATCCCCAGAACTGGGAGTAGTCGGTGGGGCAGTGAGTGAGGAGTGGAATGAGACACCGGGAGGAGTCAGGGGACTGAGCCCACACCCTGCCCAGCCCCTCACACTATTGAAGGTCAGCTTGATGTTGCCTGCGTCCAGCGCGGCAGCCCTCTTGTCAAAGCTTATGACGTGGGCGAAGTCTTCGAAGGCTGTGTTCACTTCCACGCAGAAGCCCCGGTCCTGTGGGCACAGCAGCACATGAAGCAGGGGCACCGTGGGCCTATGGCCCAAAGCTGGCAGGCAGAGGGGTCAGACTACAGGATGGTCAAGAAGGCTCTGCCCCCAGAAAAGTGCACAGGACTGTGACATGCCTCAGAAATTCAGAGTCCAGTCCTCATCTGACACCTCTGTCCCCATACCTACTCTTGGTTTAGACATCACACGGAGCTGAAGGGGCTGAGGGCTGTCTCCCAGCTGATGACTGAGCTTCTCATAATCAGCTCAGTGATCTCTGGCTTGGAGCTCTGGTCCCAGCTAGGCCCTCCTGCTGCCCCATAATACTTCCACCATTCTCGATCACACCTGCTGGGCCCTATCCTGTGGCTTGATCTATTGAGTGCGTACTATGTACCAGGTACCATGGTGAGTGCTTCATACACATGATCTCATTTAATCCTCATGGTTCTACATTTAATCCTCATGGTCCTGGTATCCTAATTTTAACAGAAGGAGAAACCAAGGTTTAGTGAAACTAGCACTTGCCTAAGGTCTCAGCTGATCATGATCCCACCTCAGCTGATCATGATCCCACCTCCAAAGCCTGTGCTTTCAAGCACCCACCCACCCAGGTCACTTAGTCCATGGGAGAAATGGAGGCCGCCAGGTGTGCAGCTTCCCGCCAATATTAAAACATCTCCATGGGCAGGCTCTGTGCTTCTCAGTTAAGCCTCAGGACATCCCAGTGAAACAGAGGCTTAAAAGATTGATCTCACTTGGCCTACGATGACATGAGTGGTAAGTGAAGCCACTGGAGCTTGAGGCAGCTGGGCACAAGCCAGATTCCCTTCCTCTTCCTCCACACAGCTGACCTCTGGCCTTCCTGCTGACAGCAGAGGCATGCTCCTCTTGCTTCTTTCCAAGCGTACATCCTCAACCTTTCCCCACCCTCTCCAGCCCATCTCAACACGTCGTTTCCTCTCAGGGAACTACAAGCTCAGTCTCACCCCCGTCACTGGCTCTTTCTATCAAGCACACACCTCACCTGACCTGGAAACTCTCCACCCTGCTCTCACCCTCCTCAAGCTAACCACCTCTGCTCGTTTCCTTTGTTTCAGAATCTCTTGAGATGCAGCACAAAGGAATACACATTCATTGGAGCCTATCATAAGAAAGGCATGTTACAAATGTTATTTAATTCTCACAACTGTGCATACAAAAGACCCCCAATTTACAGATGAGGAAACTGAGGCTCAGAGACATGTGACTTGCAGAGGTCTTAGGGCCAATGAACAGCCAGGAGTTACCTAAAGCATGCCACCCCCAATGCCACCACCTTCACAACACTACTCTTCCAGAGGTTGCTCATGTCCTGAAGTCAAATCCAATGCCTCCCTCTTCATCCTTGCTCGTGCCCTCTCCGGGTCCTCCTAACTTCCTGTCACTCTTGCTGTGCATGTTTCTGAGAACAGCACTTAGCTCTTTCCTACAGCCTGATTATTCTCTCCTGCAATCTCATCCTTCACCTCTCCTGGTTTTCAGACCCCACTAGACTGGATATGAATTGCTCAGACCCTGCAAATTAAACAGTTCCTGTGGGCACCTCTCTCTCCACCCCCCATGGATCTCTCAGGCCCAGGTCTCTCTTCCTCCTGCTCTAAGTCCAGGGCTCTTTGCATTGTCCTATGGGATGAGAGGTGCCACACAGTCCACCTGGCTGTGGATGGCCACAGGGACTCCTGGCTCATTTGTTCTCTGTAGGCAGGAACCCAAATAAAGAAAAAGGAAGGGAACTGCTTTCTCAGGTGATATAGAGAGACAAGACTCCTATAAAGGCAGGCCTATCAGTGGGACCAGCACTCTGTGGCTAAAAGTTACTGTTCCAATAAAATTTAGCTCTCCTGGGATTAGGTTTTCTACTTTATAATATGCTGTTTAAAATATGATATTTGTAGCTGGGTGTAGTGGCTCGTGTCCACTTTGGGAGGCCAAACACTTTGGGAGGCCAAGGAAAGAGTACTGCTTGAGGCCAGGAGTTTGAGACCAGCCTGGGCAACACAATGAGACCCCGTCTCTACAAAAAT